TGCTGGAGATCAGCCTGGGACCTGAGGGCAGGCACAGGGCTACAGAGAGGGCCCCGCAGGCCTCTCACGCTGCAGTACACGCACCCTGATGGGACAGGCAGACATGACAGCTGGACCAGACACCAAGAAGGCTGTGCCCCAAAACACGGAACTCAGATCTCTCCATCCTCTGAACCTCCTGGGCCCACGGGAGCGGCCCACCTCCCTGCTGGAGGATCTCGCTTTGGCCTGAACGCCTGCAGGAGTCTCGGCCGAGCTGGGTGCCTTGCAGGGTGGCACCGGCCCTCAAGACCCACCCCAAGCCCCTCCTGGCCGCTACACCAGTCACCTGTTTTTCATGGGGCCTGATGGGGAAGCAGCAGCTCTGCTGAGCGAGAAAAACGGTCTTTCAGCAAAGGGGCTGCGGGACGTGACGAGCACACACGGGCGAGCACACACGGGCGGGAGCAAGGCGGCCGTGCCTGGGAGCGTGTGGGAGGGGCCAGGCGGGGAGGGCGGGAATGCAGGCTGGATAAAGGAGAACGTTTTTCACATAGGGGAACTTTCTCCCATGACTCAGGACCCAATGCCCCGGCAGGGGCACCTGGAGCAGGTCCTACCAGGCTGCTGGGATGGCTCCCAGAAGCTGCGAAAAACCCAGCGCCCACATCAGACAAGGTGGAGGTGCCAGAAACTGCCTCGGCAGATGTGGAGTTTGGATCAAAAGACTCGAGAGGGTGAGTGTGCCAGAAAGGTTCCTTAAGTGAGATCTAGTCCCCACCAGCCTGCTGGGTTCTCAGAGACGAGGCACCACGGAGGCTTCCGGGGGAGGGCACTGGCACCACTCAGGTCAGGGGCGGCTGTCTGCTGCCAGCCGGAGTGGGCGGGAGGAGCTGCTGCAGGCAGGTGCTGACGGGTAGCAAGGCCAGAGTGGCAGTCACGAGCCCTGACGCACAGGGCCACGGTGGGAGCCAACAGACCGTGGCACTCCCCAGGCACGACGGAGGGGCAGCCAGCAGGACGCTGCTATGTAAGCACGCTCGGACGCACGAGCAGAAGCCTGACGCCAGCCACTGCCATAGATAAGCACGACCCCCTGCCCAGTTTCTCACCGAGTCAGTTTTCAGACCCAGAGTACACACCTTAAAAGACATGCTGGGCCCCCTTGCAGACGGGTCTTGCAACCAAGAGGGAGTCTACACGGCAATCATTTCCCTGTTCCTCCCCAAAGAGACCTAATTCATTTATCTGAGAAACCGTACACTGGAAAAAGAAGAACCCTGGATATTGTGAAGGCTGCTGGATACAAGGTCCAAACTAACACTGATGCCAGGGGACCAAGACGCTATCACGGCCCCATGTCAGCGTGAAGGACGCAGAGGCCAGGTCACAGACGGGTCCCTGGTCTAGGTCCCTCTCTCAGGGGCTCCAGCGTGCCCACAGATACAGCTGGTGCTTATCTGCCTGGTCCCAAGTATTTATTCAGGGATAGATACACTCAGTGACTGGCAGACCACACCACACCGGCCCCTGGACATGGGGATCAGGGGACACAGTAACAGGAAAGACCAAGCGCAAGGAAGTCCTGGACCCTGACACCCCTCTGGCCAAAACAGTCTATCATAACACTGCGTCCTGCATGGAACAGAGACTTTACCGCCACGTCAAGGACCTGAAGGACACTGGGGTGGTGGTCCACATGGCATCCCCACTGAATTCACCAGAATGGCTTGGGCAAGAAAACTGGATCATGATGGGTAACAGCGGACTAACCCGAAACAGGCCAAGCTCCAGAGCCTCCTGCTGCGGGAGATTCAGTGTCGTTAGCACAACGGATCCACTCAGCCTCTGGCACCTGGCGCACAGCCACTGATCTGCAGAACACGCTCCTTCCAGAGCTCATTGCTGAGGAGGGTCAGAGGCAGTTTTCACTCAGTGCAGACATTCGTGGTCTTGCCCTGCGTCCTGGCAGACATTCACGGTCCTACCCTACGTCCCGACATGGTCCGGCAGGACCCGGACCACCTGCGTGTTCTCCAGACACCACACTGGGCCGCTGCGTGAATGGCACGGTACTTCGCTCAGATGCCCTGACAGGTCACACACTCCAGGGCGCGGGTGACAAATCGAGGACCCATGGGCCTGCACATCAGTGGAGGTGTGAGGGGCCGAGTGGTCTGGGCTATGCCAGGACAGGGACTCAAAGGTCAGAGACAAGGTGGTTACTACACCTCACACTCCTCCTGCTGCTAAGCTTCTTTGGGTTTTGGAGACAGTTTACACCACCTGGGAAATACTGCCGTGACTCAGAAAGTTGCCAGGTTTGAGAGGTTTCAGAGCAAGAGACAGCTCTTCAGCAGACCCCTGCTGCGGTGCCGAGGTTTCTGTGGAAGATAAAGACGCTGTGAGAAGCCCCTAGAAGGCATCCACAGAGAGGCCAGTGTAGACATCTGCATTCTGGAGCAGGCTGTGTCAGCTACGGAAGAGAACCACCACCACGAGGGGCCATCCCAGCTCCCGGCAACTGCGTGTGTCATCGCGAGACATCAGTGTCTATAACGTCAAAGCTTCTCCCTGTGGTGCCGTCAGACCCACCAAAACCCAGTGAGCAAGGGAAGTGGTACCTCTAGAACCAAATCCAAGCACGTGTGGAGGGCACAGCACACCGCGGTGGCCCAGTCCCTCCCGGCGTGCAACTCAGTTGTACCAATGTCTTCCTCAGCTCACCGCCGTCACCTCGTGGGGGGTTCCCTAGAACCCAGAGGGAAAACTGGAACCTGGTCTGTGCATGGGCTGGCTCAGCACACGGGTACAGGCCTCCCTAGAGCCCCACACGGGAACAGCCTGAGAGGCAGTGGTGAGGCAGGGCTCCAGGCAGTGCGCCCGGGTGGGCGCTGAGTGTGGAGAAGCAAGCTGCCTGTGCTGAGGGGCCCGAGTCCGGCGGGAGCTCTGGAGGGAACAGGTCTGGGAAGAGGACCACAGAGGGGCCCTGGGAACGGCACGGTGTTGGATCTCTGCGCTGCACACTAACGCCCACCAGAGGGCGGCACAGCCGCGAGGGTTGGGATGAGTCGCCCACAGGTGCCAGCCAGCCTCTGTCCTCGCCAGCGTCCACACGGTAGGCCCATGAACAGAGTGACCACGATAGCTGAGAACCTCTCCGCAAGCCTGACCTCGCTACGCCACTGATGACCCGACGCTAGGTCCCCACAGGCTGCCGTGCCTTGAGGTGTCCACCAGCCACTTGGTGGGACGGAACATCTCCACCTGGAAAGGGCAGTGGTGAGTCTCAACTGGGACCCGCCCGTGTCCCAGCTGTGGCTTTGCCTTTCCAGGTGCAGCACGCTAGGCTGCACCAGTGTCCAAGCCTGGCGTCGGCGATTCACCAACATGGACGGATCCCTACAGCATCGGCTCAGAGCCAGCGAAGGAGGCACACAAGCGGCGGTGACCACGGGCACGTCACATGATCGCTCGGAGGTGCTGGCCTGATAAAGCACTGAGACTGCACCTTAAAGGCACAGACAAAATGCCAGCGTGGTGACGCACCCCGTGGGCTTGGGTTCCACACTTCAAGACGAACCAGCGGCCAACAGAGGGTACCGAGAGCCCAACCGCTAAAACGCAAGGATCCAGGAAACCGGGGAAAGTGGATGGCGCCCCTTCACCGTCACTCCAGAGACCCAGGGTGCACTCTGTGCTCGTCTTCCCCAGAATCTAGAGTCCCTGGTTCAAAGGGGTGGAGAAAGCTTCCATCAGGGGACACCAAAGGCCATGGTGGCCACTTGGTCACTTGGGGCTTCTCGTGCCAGAAGACCGGCAGACAGAGCACGGAGTTCCCTCGCTGGCCAGGGCGCCTGGCCGTGATGCCCGTGCAGGGCTGAGCTGCCACTGCACAGGGCACCGGGACCTTCCGAGACTCTCCTGTGACCAGTCCTGACCGTGACCGGACTGTTACAGCAGGCGGAGCTACACAAAGGACAGGGGGCAGGGGCCTGGCCCGTGCAGGGGTGAAGGTCTGCGTCACCTAACCAGGCTGGCAGTGGGAGCTCGAATCTGCCTCCCGGAGGCTATGACCAGCCCCTCCTGAAGAACAAGCACAGTGAACCCGTGTGGGGTGTGAGCAGAGCTGAGCGGCGCCAGGCAAAAGCCCTGGGACGGCAGTGCGGTCCTGCTGTGACAGGGCCCAACGGCTCGGGCTGCCAGAGCCGCCTCACCTGCACCCAGTGCACACGGCAGCCTGAAGGTGCCTGAGGATGGACACCCAGGTGCAGCCCTCAGCCCAGGGCGGGGCAGAGGCAAAAACTCCGCAGCTCTTCTCCCCGTAGGGAGGGCTCTGAGGCGTGGCCCAGCGCCCCTGGGAGCTGACCCGAATTACCCCTGGGGCCCTCCTCTTCCCTGTCCAGGTCCCCACACGCCCTGCCAGCTTTTCCTGGGGGCACTACTTAGGAAGTAACTTTTACGTGAATCTCATTTCAGTGTCTGCTTCCAGAGAATTCAACCTAAGACCAAAAAGATGAGATTTTCTGCCATTTATTTGCAACTTAATGCATCTGCTCAAAGAATGTTGTTTTATGATTCAGATTCTTTGAAATTTGTTGAGACAAGTTTATGTCCCAGCACTGGTCAATTTTCAGATATAATCCACATGTTTGATAAGAATATCTCCAGACACATACATACACATACATAAACCTGATATTTTAAAATATAAATTCCTGCTGGTTTCTGTGTATCTATTTGACACCAAGGTGTTAGATACATACATATCGGACACTCTGGGTCAGTTGTTACCACGGAGCTCTAGGAGATTCTCAGGAGACCAGCCTGGAAGACCTTTGAGAACCACATTCTTACTAAGAAAGAACGTTTTCTGAGACAACACCCAGCCCCCATCTGTCCAGGGGCTCCCAGGGGCCGGGCAGAGGCTAATGCAGTCGGGGTCTGGAGGTGCCCTGAGGGGACATGCTCTGGAAGGAACCACCGTGGGGCCCCGTCGGGGGACGGGAAACACTACTTACCGCAATCTCTGTTACTAAAATATCAGTAATACTTCCCAACACAGTGACAAAGTCAAAGACATTCCAGGCATCTCTGAAATAGTTCTAGAGAAAAAGAAGGGCAGTTAGTGCGAGCGGCTGACAAGGGCTGTGCTGGGCAAGGAGGTGCACGTGTGGCCCTGGTTGAGAAGGGGTGGGGGTGACAGACTCTCGGCACAGGGCAGAGGGCCACCCCCGGTGGCACAGCACAAGGCAGGCACCACAACCAGGCACGCGGACACCTGTGGGCAGAACTAGGAGCCATGTGTCCAGTGAGGAGGAGCCCGGCCCTGCCTGCCTCCTGGGACCTGGGCAGGGGACAGAGCTCGGGCCGCCCCTTCCCAAGGGCTCCCACAGGTCACATGTGCTCTGGGCGTTCAGAGAATGTGCAGCTCCCAACTGGGAGCCCCAAGGGCTGCCCTACAGAGAGGAAGCCAGAATGCAGGCCACCAAAACGCAAAGAGGGGACCAGGGCACGTACCAGCACCCCAAAGGCGATGATCTTCAGCACGCACTCCATGGAGAACATGGACGTGAACACGATGTTCAGGCATTTCAGCATCAGCTCATACTCGTAGGGCGCGTCGTAGAACTGCCCAGGGAATAGATGCTGTTGGCCATGGGCTCGGCAGCCCCAAGACTCCTCCTGGGACCACCACACCCTCCTGTGCAAGCACGGTGGGCAGACAGAGCTCCATGACTGCCCAGGCCTGCGACACCCCTCCCTGCTCTCCCCCGAGTTCCCCCAGAACCTTCTCACTGTCCGACCCTTGGGCAGCAGAGGACAGCAGGACCCACAGGCGTCCTGTGCTGGCCGGGACACCAGGCACCTGCAGCTCTGGCAGGAAGAAGGCTGCCTCTTCGCCCCACCTCAGAGCCAGCTCGCACCCCCAGCCAGGTGCAAGCCCCCCGAGCTGGGCCCCACGCACCTTCATCATCAGCACCGCCGTGTTGAGAGCTATCATGGCCATGATGAAGTACTCGAAGGGCGGGGAGACCACGAAAGTCCATGTCTTATACTGGAACGACTGCTGGTTTTGGGGCATGTACCGTGTCAGGGGTTTGGCGCTGATGGCGAAGTCAATGCAAGCCCTCTGCGGGGGGAGAAAGAAGCACCGAGAAGTCCAGGGGGGCACGGCACACCTGTCCCACCTGGCCTCAGGGAAGCCCAGCGGGAGAGGCAGACTGAGGCAGCACAGGCCTCTTCCAGCGGGTCCGACCGGCAAAACGTGGGCTCTCTCTGCGTGAGGAAGGGGGTCCCGCGCCTGCGCTGGCAGACAGTGGCGGCCAAATGCGACCTGGGGACGAGTGCTGCACATGCAGAGGACAGTCCTGCCCACACTGTCCGCTGAGGAGCCCACAGGGGCCACCTACCTCGTTCTTCTCCAGGCTGCATTCAGACATCACCTTGTCCCCTTGCTCCTGGAACGTGATGATGATCAAGGCCACGAAGATGTTGACAAAGAAGAAAGGGAAGACCACGAAGTAGACCACGTAGAAGATGGACAGCTCCATGCGGTACCCAGGGCTCGGCCCCTGCTCCTCGTAAGTGGCATCTACCGAGTGCTTCAGCACCCTGGGCCGGGGACGGAGCAAACACCGAGCCTCAGGGGCAGCCCCTGTGGGGACAGCCCTGGGCAGCGCGAGGCCTGCATCCAGGACCAGTGCCAGGGGTGGGGAAGGAGGCTCAGGGCTCCCACCTCGGCCGCCCGTCCAGCCTGACTGGCCCCCGCACGCCAGGGGAGCACTCACATGGGCCACCCTTCTCCCGTGGACACCGTGAACAGCGTCAGCAGGGCCCAGAGCACGTTGTCATAGTGAAAGTCGTATTTCTTCCACTGCCGCGGCTGGGCTTCCACTTCGTCCTTCTCGTAATCCAGGTACTGGCCCCTGGGGGTGGGAGTGCAGGCAGGTTAGAGGTTAAAGATGAATGACCCAAAGAAAACCCACGTCTGTGGCCAACGGGTTTTTGAAAAGGGTGCCGAGACCATTCCACGGGGGAAAAATTTGTTCTTCCATGCAGAAGAACAAATCTGGACTGCTACTCCACTTCATATACAAAAATTAACTCCAAATCGATTAACGACCTAAATGTAGGAGCTAAGACTATGAAACTCCTAGAAGAAACCATACGGACAACTCTTCATGACCTCCTACTTGGACGGATTCTTAGATATGACGCCAAAATCAAGGGCAAAAGAAAAACACAGAAAAATTAGGCTTCATCAAAATTTAAAACATTGGTGCTTCAGAGGACACCACCAAGAAAGCGGAAAGACAATCCTCAGAATCGGAGAAAATATTTGGTAATTGTCTATCTGATAGGAGACTTGTATCTAGAATACATGAAAAACGATTACATTTAATAACAAAAAGACAGCCCAGTTAGAAAACGGGTAAAGGATCTGAAGAGACATCTCTCCAAACAAGATACACAAACTGCCACCGAGCACATGGACAGATGCTCAACGTCATTAGTTATCAGGGAAAACAAATCGAAACCACGAAGAGAGACCACTTCACGCCCATCAGAATGGCTGTCATTTTAGAAAACAGACACTAAAAAACTGGAAAATGACAGATATTGGCAGGTACATAGAAAATTCAGAACCCCTATACATTGCTGGTAGGAATATAAAGTCTGGCTTTTCCTCAAACGGTTAAGCACAGTAACCAAATCACCTATCAATTCCACTCCTAGATGTATACCCAAGAGAAATGAGAACACAGGTCCACACAAAAACCTGTACACAAATGTCTACAGTAGCATCATCCATAACAAGCAAAAGGTAGAAACAACCCAAATGTCCATCAGGATATGAATGAATGGGTAAAATGTGGCACGTCCCAGAACAGATGCTCAGCCATGAACAGGAATGAAGCACCGAACACGCCACAACACAGGTGAACCTAAAACATGTTCAAGGGAGGGGAGGGCAAGGGCAACATACATAACCTAAACATCTATACCCCCATAATATGCTGGAAAAAAAAAAAACAAACATGTTCAATAAAAGAACCCAGTTACAAAAGACCACGTATTGTATCATTCCATTTTTTAAAAATGTCGAGACAAGGAAATCCACAGATGTAAAAATAGATAAATTATTGCTTAGGAGTGGGGATGGGGACATAGGCGGTGACGGCTAAAAGATACAGGTTTATTTTTTTTTTTTGAGGTGATGAAACTTCTAAAATTGGCTCTAGTGATGACAGCATGGACCTGTGAATATACTAAAACCTCTGAACGATACCCATTAAATGGATGGTTATGAACAAATGATGTGGCATGTGAATTACATCTGAATAAAGCTGTTTAAAAAAAAACCAAGGAGCCCACTGCAGTGGGGAAAAAAATGATCTTTTCAACTAAATGATGCTGGGTCAATCAGATATCCATCTCCAGGAAACTTATTTTTATTCGTACCTCACGTAACACATGAATATCAACTCCAGACAGATTGCAGATCTTAATGCGAAAGGCAAAACTAAAACTTTTAGAAGAAAACATGAACAAAATCCTTGACCTTGGGGTAGATTTCTTAAACAAGATACAAAGAGTACCCACTATAAAAGAATTTTAAAAAATAAGTTGGACTATATTAAAATCGATAATCTTGTTCTTTAAAAGACACCATTAAGGGAATAGAACGCACCCTATAAAGGGAGAGAAGACATCCATCATCCACAGACCTGACAAAGGGATCCCCTCCAGAACACCGTCAACCAGAGAGAGAGACACGCAGGCCCCACGGGAGAACGGCACCCCCCAGGAGGGACACCCACGTGGCTAATCCACCTGGGAAACGAGGCTCAGCCTCACTGGTCATCGCACAAGTGCAAATCGGACCACAGTGAAAGGCTAAAGGGCTAAAAAGCAAGACAGAAGACACCAAGTACTAGTGAAGGTGTGGAGGGACTGGAGCTCTCATCACGCTGACGACAGCGTCACCTTCCATGAGCGCCTGGCGGCATCTACTACAGCTGAACGTAACCGGGCCCAGCAGTTCCACTCCTGGACATCTGAGAGCCGTGCGTGCTGCCCACGAGCGACACGCGCACGCGGAACAGCCCAGTGGCACTGCTCACAACGGCCCCCAACTGCAAACGACCCACGTGCCCATCAGTCATACGTGGGCAGGTGAACTGCGGGATGTGCACATGGAAACCATCATGTAAGCAGAGACAACGGGGACCACCACCAGGGAGGCAGGAAGAAGCTGCCAGCACTGCCTTGTTCAGGGTCCACGCCGGTAGCTGCTGCTATTCCTACAGCTCCAGGGGGGCCCTTCTGTCTGCTGCGGAGGTAGGGTGGCCCCGGAGGATCCTAGGCCTCAGAAGTGGCCCCAGCTGTCGGGCAGCCAGCCCTGCCCGTGGGCCCAGCCTAGACCTCAGGGGAAGAGAGAGCCGGGCAACGCCCAGTGGCAACTGTGAGCTCCCAGATGTGTGCGGGCAGAAAGACGGTACCCTCAGAACACAGGCGGTCCCCAACCCGCTGAGGAGGTTGGGGAGCCCCTGGTGTGGCACTACCGACGGGGCCACGTCCCCCCTACCGTGTTCGGGGGCACAGCCCAGGCAAGGCCCCCCCAGCCCTCACACAAGGTCCCCACTGCTTTGCAGGGGAGTGTCCCAGCCACGTGACCAGCCCCACCTGGTCACAAAGGAACTCCAGGTGTTTTCTGTATGATGGGGCTTTGTACCCCACCCCCAGCCTGCCTCAGTTTACCTGCAGTCCCTCTCCAGCTCCTTGGATTCATCAGTGCAGTAGAAGAACTTCCCTTTGAAGAGCTGCACGGCGATGACCGCAAATATGAACATGAAGAGCATGTAGACGATCAGGATGTTGAGAACGTTCTTCAGGGAGTTCACCACACAGTCAAACACAGCCTGTAGGGAGAGCGGTGGGGCCATGAGAGGAGTGGAGTCATGGGGAGGGGGTGGAGCCATGTGGAGAGAGGGGTGGAGCCATGAGGAGGGTGGGGCCACAGGGGTACAAGTCACAGGGGTTGGCGGAGCTACAAAGGAGGGTAGGGCCATGAGCAGAGGGGCAGAGCCGTGAGTGGAGCAGTGGGGCCCTGGGGGAGAGGGGTGGAGCCATGTGGGGAAGGGTGGAGCCATGTGGAGAGAGGGGTGGAGTTATGGGGAGAGGGGTGGAGCCATGAGGGGAAGGGTGGAGCCACGGGGAGAGAAGGGTGGAACCATGGAGGGGCGGGGCCATGTGGGGGGAGGGGGAGGGGCATGTGGGGAGACGGATGGAGCCATGAGGGGAGGGTGGAGCCATGAGGAGGGGTGGAGCTGTGAGGGGAGGGGCACGGGAGGGGCCAAGAGCAGAAAGGGTGTGGAGGGGACCAGAGAGGACCAGGCAGGGCAGGGCGCCTACATGCTCAGAACCTCAGGACCACTGAGGCCCAGATATCCCTGGGCATTCGAGACCCCTGCAAGGCCCTCGGGGCCCTGACCGTGGAGAGGCTCTGCTGCCAGCTGCTCTGACACCGAGACCGGCTGACGCTTTCTCCTGCCAAGGGAGCCACTCTGGCCTTGACGGAGTGGGCGGGCGGTGCAAGGACAAGCGCAGACGCCTAGGAGACCTGGTCTCGTAGGTCAGAGTCAGGCCACAGAAACGGGACGGCCAGGAGCCCAGGCGGGGCTTGCGCAGAAGGCCCCGCAGCAGGCCGTGCTCCACCCCTGCCCATCAGTGGGAAGCGATGCGGGGCAGGCAGACAGCAGACAAAGCCGTGGTGCTCTGGCCCAGCTCCAGGACGGGGACTTCGGATGTGACTCTGCTGTCTGCTACCACGTCCACAGGCCTTCTCCCGTGTTCTTCCCGGCCTGGAAGCTCAACGCTCCCCGTGTACCCAGTGCTGCTCTCAGAGCTGAGGAGACGCCTCCTAAGCTGTCCTGCTCTTGAGCTGCCTGGCAGATCTACCCCCATCTCCCGAGATGCTGCCTGGCACAACCAGACACCCACCTGCACTGCGCCCTTCACCTGCCAGACCAGGTGCAACTCCACCTGGACCCAGAAGGTCTCTGGACGCCTCCCCAAGCTCTCTGCCAGCCCACCCCTTCACACCCAGGGTCTAAGCAAACTTGTTCCTGCAATTCCCACATTGCCTAATGCCCTCTGTGGCTTGCGTTCCCAAGCTGTTAATAACAGAAACTAATGCACAAAATTTGGAGGATTAAATGAGTTAAAGCATATAAAGCACTTAGCACAGTGCCCAGCACACGCTCTGTATTTGTTAGACTTTAGCACAACTCCAAGTGTTTGGGCTTACGCTCATCCTTGATCCACAACCTCAGCTGTGCCCATCTTCCTAACCCTAACTTTCCTGGAGCCACTGTCCTGCCAGCATTTCCCTTCCAGCCCTCTGGGCAGCCTGCACTGCGGCTGCTGAAGAAGACCCCCTGTGCCATCTGGTCCCGCTGGGCCAAGGAAGAGGAGTCATACAGGAGACGGCTGGGAACAAGGTCTACCTGGGCAGGGGGTTTATAGCTGAGTGAACCCATCCCCCTCACGCAGGTACGTGATTTGAGAAGACACATGCACACATGCACATGTATGCACACCCTCATGTGCCACGCACACACGTGTGCACACGTGTGCACACATGCACAGCACACCCCTCAAGCCTCAACTCCAGGCTCCAACCTTGAGCTTGGGCAGCCGTTTGATGGTCTTGAGGGGCCGCAGGACACGTAGGACTCTCAGGGACTTGATGGTGTTGATGTCTTTCCCTTTGGATCCTCTAGAAGGGAGAAACCACAGATGCAGACAGGCAGGAGGCGTGGGTGTGCCCAGCTCCCCGCGGCCCACCGGGGTCTGGCTCACACTCCTCTGCACGTTTTGTCTCGGGCTCCAGAGCAGAGGAGCCGGGAGCAGCAAGGCCTTGCCCTGCAGGCACCACAGGGCGCCTGTCTCCTCCCGTGGGCTGCCTGGCCTGGGCCTCATCTGAGGACAGGGGCTGGGGACGGGGACGGGGCCGGGACGGCAGCACCTGGTGTACAGGGAGAGCCGAGCTTCCAGCTGGAAGAGCCCTTCCCTCAGACCGTCGCTGACACCGCCCCAGACCAGCCTCCAGGAATACCGAGGACGGGGGCCTGCACAAGGACTGCACATCCAGAAGTGGAGTCTACGAGCAGGGCCTTTAGTGCTGGAACCTTCTGAAGGGCCTTTTCCCCTGCTTTTCAGTCCTGGTAGAGGGAGGTAAGAGGGCCTGGTCTGGCCTCTTCCTACAGATCTCAGCCGCCCTAACACTCTTCCGGAAGACAGACACTGGCAGAAAGGAAGAGGGAACCGGGACGGACAATGAGAAGGAGACGAAGTCAGACAAGTACAGAGACGATGCAAAAGGCGGGACGGACCGAGAGATGAACCAAGGATGGGGAGGAGAGAGGGAGGGGGAGAGCCACAGAGAGACAGAGAGAGAGCAGCGGACAGGGCAGGCCCACGGGGAGGGTGGCAAGAGAGGATGTCAGGGAGAGAAAACTCCAGGCACGAGAAGCAAGCTCGGTGGGCCCAGATCAGGGCCTCCCGCAGAAAAAGCCAGAGCAGACCCAGGTAGCGGCCTGTGCCTGTCAGAGGCCCGGGAATTAGCAGGTTCTGGGCCCAAACCTCCTGCTGACCCTACCCAAGGCCAGGCCGGCAGCATCAAGGAGAGGCCTGTTCTCAGAAGCAAACCCACAGCCCACTTGGTGGGGCATTGGGGCAGGAGCTGAGGGCTCAGGACTGGGTGGGCTTCACTCACACCTGGAGCCCTAGCCCGTGTTCAGAGGGGCGTGGCCTGCATGCGGGGGTGGCGCTGCCCCCAGTGGTCTTCCTTGGGCTCCACAAAGTGCTGGCGTGCAGTGGGCAGAGCTGTATGGCCCAGGCCTTCTTCATGGGGACAGGAGAGTTTGGGCACCTCAGCCCTCTTCTCCCGCAGCAGCAGCCTACACCCCAAAGTCACACCCAACTCCCCCTGAAACACCAAGCTTCCGGTGGGACAAGCCCAGCCTCCCGACCATGCCAGCTACTTCCATCACTGCAGCACCCCCCGATGCCCACTCTCAAACCGGCTTCCTCTGCCAGCAGGGAGAAGGCAGGACAGACGCCGGCCCAGGGTCAGGGCAGAGCAGGAGGAAGCCACACTGCTTCTCCAGGGAGGGGCTTCCCCTGGGAGGCAGCCCTCTGGAGTCCGTGATGAGTGGCCAGCTCAGGGCCTGCCCCCGTCCTCTTGCTCTGAGGCCACCGGGCTGGGTCTCAGCCTTCCCTCCTCCTGCTGGGACTGTCTCCAGCAGCCCTGGCCGCGGCATCCTGACTCCCAAGGCCCCTGCTGACACTCTGGCAAAGTTCTCATTTCCTTCATCATAGAAGGAAAGTCTACTAAGACACCCCGAGGAGAAGATGGGCACTGCAGGGGGCTTGTGTGGAGAGGAAGAGTGGAAAGAAAGCTGCGTTGGGAAAGCAATTAGGGACATCCAATACCCAGGGGCCACGGCCACAGCTGGCAGCTGCCACCCAGAGCCCTCACTGCCCTCCAGGCCGATGCTCCCAGCCTCCAGCACTCGACTGGGACACCCTGCTCGCCAGGAAACACCTCGCCAAGGGCTGAACACGTCCAGCCCTAGCCCCTAACCCAGCCCCTAGAAGCATGACAGGGACACCGGGCCTGGGGACATGGCTCCCGGCAGCATGCAGCCCAGATGGGGGGAAGGTGGGAGAGCAGGAGGTGAGGTTGGTGATGAAACAGCCCAAGACAGGCTGTCGGTATGCATGACGTCAGGGCGGTGCAGGGGAGAGAGAGAAGGCATTACCCCGTGAAGCTCCTACCGAGAGTCCAGCAACAGGAAGACAAAGAGAGCAGAGTCAGTGACGCTGGCAGGAGAGCAGAGGCCTCTGTGCAGGGGTGTGCCCTCCCAGGGGTGCAGAGAAGATGAAGCCCCCGGGACCTGCCATCCATCAGGGTCTTCCTTGCCTCTGGCTCTCACCCCACAACTTCCCTTGTATCTCCCACTCCCAGTCCCATCCGAGCCCCCCACGCTCTCCACGCGGAGCCCGACAGAGCCACCTCCAGTTCCAACTCAAACGGGGCAAAGTGTCACCAACGAGGGAGTCAGGAGGAATAGCCTAAATCCCCAAGATTTAGGGGAAGACGACCACCAGCTCTGGCTGGGAAAACACGGGAGGTCTGGCAGTCACCTCGGAGCGGGTGAAGTTGCTCTGCGGGGGAGATGCCAAGCAAGCCAGAGACTGTGCGCTCAATCCCAGAACCACAGGCCGCGTCAGGGACAGACAGGCCCCGGGTGCCGGATCCCACACAGCCCGGTCCCACACGGGCAGTCGTGGAGCCACAGACATCACCCCGCCCCCATCGCAGTTCTGGGGGCCGTACCCAGCCCGATGCAGAGCAGACATGGTTACTTACGAGAAGGCAAACGCCACCAGGGCCCCACTGACCACAATGAAGTCCAGAATGTTCCACAGGTCCCGGAAGTAGGCTCCAGGATGAAGCAACAGTCCCAAGTCGATCATCTTCAGGGGGAGAAACGCACTTTAGGAATATGGTATTCCAGCGTCACGGGGCGAGGAACGTGGCTCTAGGTTGCTCCCTCCAGCGAAGGCTCCCCCGGTCGGCTGTGCTCGTGGCTGTGCACATCCATGACCTCAGTGCAGCCAGGCACACTCTCATACGCCCTCCCAGGGCAGGGGGGACACGGTGCAGGTCATGCCCTCTGAGGGCCTCAGTGGGCCCAAGTATCCCTATGTGGCTCACGATGCCTGAGACCTGCCTGGGCTCCCAGCTTGCCCGGAACCTGGGCGAGACTGTGAGGTGTTCGTCTGCATCTGTTCTTCACACACGATGGCCCCAGGGGGCTCACATCCTGCCTGGACCTCAAAGGTCAGCTCAGTGGAGCAGAAAGGACAGCTGGTCTAAGTTACATGGACCGTCATTCACGTCCTGGCTCTGCCTCTCCTGGTGCTGAGATTTGGGCAAGTGCCACAACATCGCCAAGCCTCAGCCTCCTCATCTGTAAAATGGGGGTGACGTGCGCAAATGCTACCGAGCGCACCCAAGTGGGCACGTGCATCCCCCAAACAGCACTGAGGTCATGGATGTGCACGTGCGTGTGCACATTCAACCACACAGAATGCACACCTATGCAATACCTGAGTGCCACGTTTGCCAGACACTGACGGGGGAGCACCTCGCGTCAATGCTTAGAGACAGAAACGAAGGCTGCACTGCGGCGGCTGACCCTTAACCTATCACCAGACAACCACCAGAGCCCTTTTGAATGTGTGCCTTCAGCACCTGCTTCCAACGACCTTCCACCTCCTTCCCGCCAGGTCTCCCCTCCACCTGGCGCACGGCCGCCTGCTTTGCCGCCGCAGACAGCCCTGGGGGAGGGGCCGAGCCCACGGGTGCACGCTAAGGAAAGCCTGTAACTCACGTGTTAGGGGAGCAGGAGCGACCCCGGCACATGGCTGGGGAGCACCCCGGGTGATCCCGTGCTGGGGGGCGTCCTCGGTGAGTGACAAAGCCTCTCGTTCTCCCAAACACATCATGTGCACACGCATGGACTCTCATGTCATCACACACACGTGCATGGCTCACTCATGGAGCACACACCCAGCGCGACCGCCACACACGTTCACGAGAGGCTGCAGGGACAGCGGATTATCCGGCACCCCCCAGTCCCACCCCAGTCGTGAGGGAGGTGAGCAGGACACGAGGCCGTTGGGGCCACCGCACAGCTCACCTTTATCACCATCTCGAAGGTGAAGACGCCGGTGAAGATGTAGTCCATGTACTTCAGAGCCTGAGACCAAAAGGAAGGCCACTCCAGAGACCAGGCTGGAAGCCCGGGCCAGGGCTGCTTTCCGACTTTTCCCTCCAGGCCTCTGAGCAGACGGCCGGTCAGCCGGGGGCCAGCGGCCCCGGTTTCAGGAGGCCAGACTCAGACGCAGTCCTCCGGCATAGGCCCCCGACTGCAGCCCCAGCTCCGGCCCGGGCACGTCCCAGCCCATCCTGTCTCCAGACACCCCCCACAGGAGGGACACGCGGGGGCGGGGGTGCCCAGGGAGGGGCCGGACCCCGCAGCCACTCACATTGTTCCTGGGGGAGTCTGTCCGCACGGGGTCCTCGGCAGCCAGGGCGATGCTGCTCAGGGCGATGACCACAAGGATGACCATCTCGAAGTACCGCATGGTCACGATGTAATGGCAGCAACGGCGCAGCCTGTGGGGCGAAGCGCGGGTCACCACGGGCCCCCCGAGCCCGTGCCCGGCCCCTCCCTGTAGGAGGAACTCCCTCAGCCACCTGGGGGGGGGTGGCACCGGAGCCTGGCTCCTTGAAGCGTCCCCGTGGCTGGGGGACCACAGCCAGGCGACAGAGGGTGACTGAGGTCCCTGAAAGGGTGGTCCAGGATGGGTGGGAAGGCTGCGGACCCCCTCCCGGGGGTGGGCAACTCCAGCTCACAGGCCGAGCCAGCCCGACGCCGCTGGCGTGAATGACATCTCGCTGGAGCGCAACTACGCCATCTGTTCACCTACCGTCTGCGGCGCAGCTGAGGAGAGCAGCCTACCTACGGCTCCAAAGTGCCCGCCTGGCCCCTCCTAGCCAGGCTTGCTGTGGGTACGGTGCAGGGCGCTGTCCAGAGAGGAGGGACCTCAGCACCCTACCCTGGCAGACAGCAGGCCTCCCTCGGCCTCGGAACGTCTCTGGGGCCGTGCTGGGTGCCTGCCCTGTCCGAGCGTCCTGGGCTGCACGTGAACACACCAGCACACGCCTGCCTGCTGCTCCAGCCACCTGCTGACCTGCACTCACTCACTCGGCCTCACTGAGCGCCTGCCCTGCGGCGTGTGCTGGACTCTGGGGGACACAGCGAGGAACGGGACAGGCAGTCCCTGGCCTCAGGAGGCACCGCGGCAGCAGGGGAAACGCCAGCGGACAGCGTGGCACGAATAGGAGACTCTCGCGCAGACGAGTGCCACTCACGGCAGTGCACAGCGGCCAGGTCAGGAAGGCTAATCCCCGAGCGGCAGGCAAGAAGGGGCAGGTGTGGACGGGGCGGGTGGGGCGGACGTCTCTCCTGCGACACAGGGATGTGCTGTCTGGGTGCCACCTGTGCCTGCTGCCTCCCAGACACGCCCAGTGCCCCACCATCCCCTCCAGGCTCTCACACCGACATCGATGGGGCCTTCCATCTCAAGAGACCTCCCCCTTCTCTGCCTCGGAGGGTCCCCATGTGCGTCTCTGGCATCCCCACATTCCCGTCTGGCTCCTGCCCCCACGCTCCCGGGGCTGCCCCCCAGGCCCATTAACGGCCCGCTACTTCTTCGTCCCTCACTTCTCCCTCCTAAAAGAGACACCTTTCCTCCTAATTCGACAGCCATCCACTCCAGCTTGCGTCTGGGTTTCTGCCACTCAGCTCCGCCTCCAGCTCAGACCCCCGGGCCACCCAGCCGCCCGGCTGCCCTGGGCTTTGCAGGGGCTGTGGACTGGACCCCTGGCTCAGCCAGCCCCCCACAGCACTGATGGTCTTGGTGAAAGCACTGCCTTCCGCCCGGCCGAGACTGGTGTCACCCCTGACGCCTCCTCCCCTCCCACATCTAAAGTGTCTTCAGACTCTGCCTCCAAAACCTCCCCACTCTGACCGCCCTGGTCGAACCACCACTGTCCCTTCCCAAAGCTCCGCCCCCCACCACGTGTCTCTGTCTCTGTTCTCCTCATCAAAGGACCCTGCTGAGGTGCAGTCTGAATGCCTGCCTCTGGTACCACCCGATCTCCCCCGACACCCGCGGGCAGGCCCTTCCCATCTCCGCTCTGCCTCCGGCTGCCTCCTCCGTCCTCCCCTCTTCGCCCCAGCACTTCTCGCCCTTCAGGTTTCCGCCCAGGTGCCTCCTCCAGGAGAGCTTCCCCGACCTGCCACCTACTCCCCGACGCCGGCACCGCCCCATCGAGCCATCTTCACGGTGCACCTACCCGCACTGCCTCTTCCCGCCCCCCCCACACGGCCGTCCTGACGTGGCAGGGACCACACCCCGTGAGCGTGCGTGCAGCGAGGGCATGAAGATCAGGGGAGGCAGGGGGAGCGGGTGCGGAGGCCGCGTGGGGACGCCACTGGCTGAGGCGGCAGGACGAGGGGCTGGGCAGACCAGCAGTGGGCCTGCGCTTGCCATGCTCTGGCTGGGCTGGAGTGCGGCCCTGTCCTCAGATCTTTGCTCTAGTCTCACCTCTGGGCCCC